GCAATGTAACAGTCCCTCTCGGTTCTGTAATGATCACTCTGGGTTCTGTAACGGCGATGTAACAGCCCCTCTAGATTCTGTAACAGCCCCTCTAGATTCTGTAATGGTCACTCTATGTTCTGTAATGGTCATTGGGTTCTGTATCGATCACTTGGTTCTGTAACAATGATGTAATAGCCCCTGCAGGTTCTGTAACGGTCATATTGGGTTCCGTAATGGGGACGTTATGGTCACTTTTGGTTCTGTAACGGTCACTCTGGGTTCTGTAAAGGCGATGTAACGGTCCCTCCAGGTTCTGTAACGGTCACTCGGGGTTCTTTAACGGTCATTGGGTTCTGTAAAACGTGACTCTGCAGTAAATCGGACCCTCTGTGTTGGACCCGGTTCTGGGCTCCTGCAGGTCCACTCCCGGTGTTTTCTTCGGCTCTTTCTGACTCGTCTCCACAGAAAATTCTTCTTAAGATTTAAAAAGTAACACTTTGCACGTCAACAGATTAGCCTGCATGTGAGCGACGGCACACACTGGGGCGGGCTCGGGTTCTCTTTTATTTATTCATGTTCCGGATCTTAAAGTGCTCTTGTTCTGACCGCACGCCTCCGAGACAGCGTTCCGAGACGAGGTTCTCCACCGACACGCAGAACTTCCTGCCGCTCTGGGAGTTTAGAGAAGCTTTAAGGTTCTGCTGGGAGGCGGGTCAGCGGCGGGTTCTAGTTCTTGATCGGGATGTTCTGAGGAGGGGCCAACTCTGCTTATTTAAGTTATGAATGTACAGATGTTTCTGCTTTTGATGTGTTGGTTCTGAAAGTCCAAACGACTTCTCTGTAGTTTTTAATCCAAAGCACCAAACTACCGTGGACTCCGGTTCAACGCCGTCTGCCAGCTGAACGTTTCTGTCCTGCGGTCCTCCCACTTGTATTTATATCTTTTATTTAATGGGCTGAGTTTGGAAGGTTCTGGTTCTGGTGAGGAGCTGTACAGAAGCTGATGTTTGTTGAGAACACGCGCCTGTCATCAGTTTGCAGCGATGTAAAGAAAAACTGTTCGCTCTGAAATAAACGGACTGAAAACTGAACTGTGACGTTTCTGCTCATTTCCTCCTGGTGTGGATGCAGAAGTGTCGACGCCCTGACGTCGGGGAGCACAGCGGAGTTACACGACCACTAAACCATTGTAAACATGTTCCCAGTTGGAAACTGGGATTCAGCTGAAGCTGCAGGTAAAATCCTGTTTCCTTCACAGTTTGTCTCCTTCCTCTCAGTGTGTCTCTGCTGCAGGACTCGTGGGTTCCTCTCAGATTCTGACGGCTCCCAGGTCACACCCACTGTTGACCCCCCCGTTGTGTCTGAGCTCAGGATGAAGCCTCCTTCATGAAACACTGACGACGTGACAACCGGTCGCTCCTGCCGCTCACTTCAGGGATGGTTGTCCCCCATTGTGGAGAGCTGGATGTCCCCTCCATCCATCCGTCCTGTGAGTTGGATAACTAAATATTAGAGGTCCTGATTTACATTTTGGTGTGTGGATACATCTAAATATAAAAAGGTCACTGTCGAAAACTGGGTTGCCACATCAAAATCCAAGATGGCCACCACCACACAAACACACACACACATACAGTATATATATGTATTTATATTTATATATATATATATACTGTGTATGTATATGTGCCTGTCTCAAGAGTGTGGTCAGGGAGTGACAGACACGTGTGTGTGTGTGGTTACCATGGTGACCACAACGTGTCACCGGCAGCAGCTTCAGCAGTTTTTCTCATCTTTTTTACCGTTGCTACATCAAAATGCCTTTTTGTCAGATTATCGCAGCAGTAAGAGTCAGATTATTGCTGCAGGAAGTGTTGAGATTATTCTTTGGATTTTCAGGACGTTTCCCGCAGGACAAAGTTTTTTACCTCTTCCTGCTGAATCTTGGGTTTTGACGGGGAAGTTTTAAATTTTTTTATCTTTAGGTTTTCTGTCCGTTGACAAACGTCTGGGCCGTGAGGCGTGCTTCTGTTTGAACATTAACCTGAGCAGACTTTGAGATGTTCTGTTTTTAATCTGGACGCAGCAGCTGCAGGTTCTGTGACTCTGTTTTTATTAACCGAATGACGAAGCTGCAGGCGTCTCCTGCCACAAGGCTCATCATTTTACATGAAGTCCTGCGAGATCTTTAAATTTACCTTCACTTGTTTTCTAAACGCCCGGCCCGGTACGTGTGTGTGTGTGTGTGTGCTCTGACCCCGCCCCTCAAAGGTCAACAAAGGTATGCTAATAGTAGCCTGTGTGACATCAGCGGGGTCGTATAAGAGGCGGCCGGCGAGCTGCGCCTGCAAACCTGCCTGAGCCGAACCTGGAGGACGTTCTGTCTGCGCCGAGCCGAAGAAGACGCTGCGCTGGACGACATGCTGTTCTGTCACCCCCAACCCGAGCCCTACCACCACAACTCCAGCTGCTACATCAGGTAAAGCACCGTGTTCGCCCTGAAGGCTCTTTAAAGATCGTCCAGCTGAAACTTTACCTTTTTAATCCCGTTCTTTTAATCTGAGGTTTTTAACTCTTCTGCTTTTGCAACTTGAACTTTTGACCTTTGGTTCTTTGTAGGTGAACGGATAAAATGGTCCTTTTACCTCCTTTTCTTTAATTAGAAGCTTTGTTACATTTAGATTTGAGTCTTATTACGTGTGGATGAAGCCCCAGAAGATGAGAATAAAAACTGATTTCATTTTAAAAACTTTGCCGCAGAACTTTGAACTAAAACCTGTTTTTTTTGTTTCTTGTCTGTTTTTTTAGAGACACTCTGGCTCCTTTCCTGAAGAACGAAGAAGCTCGGCTTCTGGCTGAAAATGGCGCCAAACGGACGCCGTTTCAGTACGTTCTGTGCACCGCCACGTCGCCGGCCGTCAAGCGGCAGGACGAGACCCTGACTTACCTGAACCAAGGTACCTGGACGTCTCCGATCGGACAGAAATGTCCAGATTGAAGTTCCACGGAATGAACGAGGTTCAGGCGAGACTAAAACAAAACCAGAAAGATTCAAAACGTTTTATTTTAGAACAAGCACTTTGGCTTTGATTTGTCAAAATCTAAATATTTTCCACAATTTGATAATAAAAAATCTTATTTTGATGAAAATATGTTTTTGTTTTTACATAATCGACACATTTTTAACGAAAACTTCAATTTTTTTTTAGTCTATTTTAGCCAGAATCATAAAATCAGATTTAATTTAGGTTTTTTTTGGATGCAAAATATTTTATTTAAAGTTGTTTTCAAGACTAAATGTCAAAAAAAAAAAAAAATAGTGTTTGAAGATTTTTAGAACTCTTAAGTTTTTTGTGACTTTTTTACTTAACTAAACTATAAAAATAATTAATTTTAGTCTTAAATGTGATGAAAACTCATCTTGCAGCTAATTTTTTTAAATGTTTTATCTATATTTTATATAAAAAGTGTTTAAGTGAAACAACTAGTCATTTTTATTGAAATATATATTTTAAAAGTTTCTGTAAAACATTAAATTTGTTAAATATTTTGAATATTTAAAATAATAAAACAGCTATGGAACAGAAATCTCAAATAAAAAAATTAAATTTTTTTATTTTATTTTATTTATTTATTTATTTTTTATACAATGTAAAACTTTTTAACTCTTGAGTGTTAAAAATAATTGATTTTTTTAAATAAAAAAATTATATTTAGGAAATTAAATGTTTTTTTAATTATTATTGGCTTATTTTATTTTTTATAAAACCTTGAATTTTATTTAAATGTAAAATGTTTTAATGTGAAAATTTTAAAAACACATTTTCAGAATAATCTGAAAGAAAAAAAATGTAATTTAGGTAATTTCGTCATCCAGACTCTTCAGAAATGAATAAAACATTAATTAATATGTTATTAATTTTTAGGACCTTTAGGTTTGTTTACTTGTCATATCAAAGCAGTAAACAAACCAACCAGATTTAATAAAAACTAAATATTTGAGAACAGATGTAAAAATTCAAACCACGAACATTCAGTGAGGAGGAGCACCAAATAAAATCGAACCCCAAACGAGAGACTACCAGAACCAGACGTTTAACGTGTGGAGCTCAACTTGTTTTAGTTCATGGAGTTGGGTTTTCTTCAGATGTTTGAGTTGTCTTCAGTCTCAAGTTTTCCTCTTTTAATCCTCCGTCTTTTTCTCCTCTTCGTCTCCACGTCCAACCGTTTTGTCTCCGAGCTTCTCCTCCCTCCTGTTTCTTTACGCGCTCTCTGTTTATTTGTTCTTGGTTCGTTTGCTCGCAGCAGGTTTTACAGTTTGGGTCAGAACCTTCCGTCCTCCTGAGCCTGAAGCTCTGATCTGTTTAGATGATTCCTCTGAAACGTTCTTTTCCCCGGGTGGAGTGGTCAAACCACAAACGGCTCCAGTCAGTTGTAAAAACCTGATTTGAAGAAAACGACCCAGGAACCACCCCGTCCACCAGTGTCCCCGTCCACAGTGAGGACAGTTTGACATCATCATGGATTGAGAGGACCAGGAAAGAAGCTCCAGATCCTTCAAGGTGAGCTGAAACCTACAGCTGTCCACGTGGACGAGGCAAATGTCCCCTGGAGACGATACTGATGGTCAGACGAGATGAAGACTGAGACACGAAGGACGTTTGGAGGAGTCGATGTGAGACTTCAGACCTGAGGACACTGAAGCAGCTGTCGGGCACGGTGGGGGGAGCATCATGTTGCGGGACAAAACGAGGACAAGTCCTTCAACTTCACCTCAAACTTGTACACAGTTGGGTCCAACAGGACAGTGGTCCAGTGCTTTCCCTAGATCAGTTCCCTTGTATAATGGTAGGAGAAACACTGTGGTCCCAAACAGTCATCAGAACTGGTCTCTGATTGGACAAACTGGGCTGACGTGACGCTTCTGGGATGACCTCACAAAGAACCGACCTAAACTGAAGATCTGTGGAGTCCGATTAAAGACCGGGTCTGAAACCAGCTGGTTCAACTGCACTCTGCTGAAGAACGGTCAGATATCTCCTGCTGGCTCGTTGGAGACAAAAACTGAGGTCCAGGAGACGTAATGGTCGTGGCTCTTCAGACTGAATAAGTCCTTTGGATGAAGGACAAAACGTCTCGGCAAAAAAAGAAACCGTCCAGATGACCTGACTGAACTTTGTTGGATTTGCACCTGGATTACCGAGCATGAACTTTGGTGTTTTGAACCATTCTGGCATGGCTGCCTTAGAGGAGTTGACGGGGGAGAGGGCGGGCCCCAGAAACCATCTTATCACCAGCAAACTGGTTTCTTCCACTATGGGAATGTGGTGTTTGTGGGACTCCAGTTTGTGTGCGGCTCTTTGGACTGAAGAAGTCCTTTGGATTAAAATGTCTAGATGACCTGACTGAACATTGCAGGAGACGTAATTAAATATTAGTGGGGGCGTATGAATAAATCTGAGCCTGTTGGTTTGATTTTAAACTTTTAATTCTTGTTTTTAATCCTCGTTTAAGTTTTAAACTCATTCCACCCTGGAACACGAACCGTCCAAATCCTTAAATCCCAGAAATGATCCTGAGATTCTCGCCCAGGAAGGAAACCTCTGAACTGTAAACCTGTTTGGGGGTAAATCTCCGTCGGGGTGTCCGGCTGAACCGCAGACAGGAAGTGAAATCCTTCCAGTTTCACAGAACTGCGTGATAGTTTCATGTTTTATATTTGATGGAAGTGCCGAGCCTTGATCTCTGATTTTGTATCTCCGCTGCCCCGCTTTTCTGTTTGTCTGATTTCCCTTCATTTTAAATTGTAATCAGTTTTTTTTTTAATGTTTTAAAATGTAGGTCAGTCCTACGAAATCCGCATGCTTAACAGAAAACTAGTGGAGTATTCAGATATAAGCAGCAAATATGTGAAGGTAGGTGTAAGATATCATGTTTCTGTTTTTTTAACTTCTCTTTCTTGTCTTCTTGTCTAAGTCTGAATTTCCCAGTTTGTGGCAGGTCCCTGAACGCTCCATTCCCACTTTGAGGGTGGCGCTTGGAGACCTTGGTGCCGTCACCCAAACTTCTTTTTCTTCTACAATTCAAACGCCTCAAACTCTCCTCACTCCATCCTGCTTTTGTCTGCCTGCTGGGATTTCTCTGATTTCTGTGTCTGAAAAGCAAAATATAATATTGTGCTTAAAACACGAATCTATATATGTTTATTTACCTTTGCTGTGTGGATAAAACCCAGTAGCAGCCATTTATTTATGTTATTCTGCTTTAATTTTCACCTCTCGGGTTCTGTGACGTTCGAAAGTAATCATTTAAGATGCAGACGTAGAGCCGAAAAGATTAAAATCAAAACATCTGGACCTTTTTTTCTGTAATTGGAGAGGTTTCTCTTCACATCTGAGGAGCTTCCTCGGTTCAGAACAGGAGAGCGAGCTTCTAAACCTTAAACTGCAGGAAAAGCTCTAGTTGTGGAGCTAAACTCCCATGCAGATTAATCTCCCTCCCCTCCCTCCTGAGGGTCATCAGCGTCTTTAGTCACCTGCATGAATTAGAGTGAAGCTGTTTCAGGTTTACAGGGTTAAAGGGATCGTTTCCTTGATGTGACGTTCTGTCTAATAATTATCAATAATTAATATCAGCTGTGACATCAGTCATGGGGGCGGAGTTTACAGAAAGGGGCAGGTCTTCCTGGCTAATGGCTAGCTTGATATTTTTCAGGCTTATTAAACACTTTCTCAAAAACAACAAACGGGTGTAAAGGATTATTACATCAGCTAATAATTAATAAACTTCTAAACTTTTACACGGCACCGAGCTACATCCGTGTTACTACGTGAGCGCGTGCGGAGCGTAGATGGACGCGTTCATGTCAACGGCGCTGAAGCTGCGGAACGTTCCAGTCGGCCCGATCAGCTCGTTCCTGCAGCCTCTGCATCGTCGACATGAACGCGTTGGCACTCCCAAACTAACGCAGATGTTCGGCTGAGAAAACATCATCACACAGTCTCGTGTAAAAGTGTAGAGGTTTTACGTGTTTCGTCCTTCATCCAAAGGACTTCATCAGTCTGAAGAGCCACACAACAAACTGAGTCCCACAAGCAGCACACTCCCATAGAGGACCGACCAGTTTGCTGGTGATAAGATGGTTTCTGGGGCCCCCCCTCTCCACCATCGACTCCTCTGAGGCAGCCATAGCCAGTGTGGTTGTTTGTGGCTCCTTGGACTGATGAAGTCCTTTGGATGAAGGGCGAAACATCTCAACAACAAAATAAATCAGGCAGATGACCTCACTGAACATTGTTGGATTTTCTACTTGGATTATTTAGCATGAACTTTGAGGTTTTTCACCGAGAGGTTTTTTTTAGGCCTGAAAAAGACCCCCCACCCCCCATTTAGCTAACAGTTAGCGTAGCCTGAAAGAATGTATTTGTCTTTCTCCATCCTCTTGGCTCCACAGCTGATGTCTGATGAGGTCCAAACTGCTGATCACTATTAGACAGAACCCTCTTCAAAGTTGACCGAACTGTCCCTTTAATGATCCACCTCTTGTGTTTAAAGCTCTTTTTTATTGTCTGACATAAATGTTCTGGAAAACAAGGTGAGGGAGGTGTCTGATTCTCAGCCAGTTTCACTCTAACCTTCACGCAGGCGACCGACGACCCCGACGACCCTGAGGAGGAAGCTCCATCTTTAACTTCACAATAAAAGTCCGGTGCTTTAGTTTGAAACGCTTGGAAACAAACGTGTGTTTGACGTCGGAGCGGAGGCGGTTCTCCCGCGTCTCCGTCGTCAGGCAGACGTCGTCATCGTTTAGCTTCCTGGAGGAGGAGGAATGTGGCAGGCTCCGCAAACACCACACCACGGACCCAGAACTGATTGAGTTCTGGGTCCTAGTCATGCGTGAGCTTCCCTCCATAAATGCTCTCTATTTTTTTTATCAACATGAACAGATTATCTTGTGCGATATTACAAGCTGCCACGCTCAGTGTGTGTGTTGTGGATGACTCTCAGCAACTACCACACCAATATATAGCTTATTATCTGTAATAAAAACCTTTTTGAGTTTTCTATGATGAGTTAGCGGTGGCAGCCATCTTAAACTAGACTCATTCCAAACATTAATCCAGGGGTGCCCAAACATTTTCCCTGAGAGGGTCAAATTTAAAATCTATCAGAGGGCTGCGGGCCAAACGCAGTAATAAATGAAATGCAAATACTTCTTTAAGTAAAGTCCATTTATTTATTATTCATATTTATAATTTAGGCTATTTTTAAACACTTTATGTGTGATTTATAGGTGTATTAGTGCAGGATCAAAGGAGAATGTTTTTCAGTGGCAGGAAGCTGTAGGAAGTCTGTCCAAATAAAATATAAATTAGTAAAATTTAAATAATTCAAAACAGCCACTCCAGCTGTATGGTGCCATTAAGGTAGTCACTGGGCTGACTTTCCATTTAACATTAACATTAAAGTCAGAATGACTGAGTGGAAACACATTGACACTTCAAAGAAAATTTTACTATAGTAATGAGGACAGCTTGGTGGGCCAACTTTGGCCCGCAGGCCCCGTTTTGGGCATTTGTTGATCCGGTCCATCTGGTGATTCGTGACTTATTTTTGTAACAGGCGGACACAAAAATATTATCGCCTGCTGTTTGCGAGCCGTAATCGAGATTGACGAGTTAAAATCAATCTTTTGACGTTTGAAGAGTAAAAAAAAAAACGTTATTCTTTCTTGGAGAAACTCGTTAGAGCCTCCAAACGACGCGAGACGATGACAGAAAATTTCGCTATGACAGCGTTTACTTTAGTGCTTCACATCAACGGGGACAGATTTTGTCGACGCTTTTGGTTCATCGTTGGAGTTTTTGAAGCTCGTTATAAAGCTGGACCGGTACGGAACATCGGCGTGGCTTCAGTGACAGTAGAACCGTGGAAAAAGTCGTCATTTCAGCCCTCGGCTGTAACTCACACTCAGAGCCTTTTGGCACCGTGCCCAACAGTTCGGTTGTTCGGCACGGTGCGAACCGCTCCGCTCAGACGGTTCCCGTCCTCCATCCTGAAACTCGGTCCTGCTTGTCCACAGAGCATCGTGCGCGTAGTGTTTCACGACCGCCGGCTGCAGTACATGGAGCACCAGCAGCTGGAGGGATGGAGGTGGAACAGACCCGGAGACCGAATCTTGGATATAGGTGAGCGAACGGCACCGAGGAGCTTTAAGACCCACTCCTTCATCAGAACCTGGAAGGAGAGATGGTTTTGTTCTGATTGTTGGTTAAAATGAGCAAATAATAGAAATGAACTGAAGTAAGTAAGTCGTTGCAGACGTCCCGCTCTCGGTGGGGGTTCTGGAGCCTCACGCGGACCCTCTGCACCTCAACACCATCGAGTTCCTCTGGGATCCTCAGAAGAACGCCTCTGTCTTCATCCAGGTACTGACAGGTTCCACTTCCGAGAACGTTGACGCCGTTGTTGTTTCACTCTTCACCCGTCGTCTCAGGTGAACTGCATCAGCACCGAGTTCACCCCCAGGAAGCATGGCGGGGAGAAGGGGGTCCCTTTTCGGATCCAGGTGGACTCCTTCTCCACCAACGACCACGGGGAGTACTTGGAGCACGTCCACTCCTCCAGCTGCCAGGTCAAGGTCTTCAAGGTACGACCCGTTGGGGGAACGCTCTGCGTCCCGTTTTTCTCAAATCTCTGCAGCTAATTGTGATGTTTTCAAGCCCAAAGGAGCGGATCGTAAACTGAAGACGGACCGGGAGAAGATGGAGAAGAAGAACCCTCAGGACAGAGACAAGTACCAGCCGTCCCACGAGACCACCCTGCTCAGAGAGGTGAACAAATCCAAACGGGCCCTTTGTTTGCTCCCAGAGCTGGGGCTTTATTGATCCCGGTGGTAAATTCCTGAGTCGCCTGGATGTTCGTCCCCTCAGAACCTAAAATCAGAGTTCTGCTCTGCCTCGTTGCTCACGGTACAGTTTAAACTGGGCTGATATCACCGCCCGTTAATGGGTGACTGGTTCTGACCCAGCTCTGCGCTGCTGATGTTCGTTAATGATTGGAGCTTTTGTTGTGCGTAACTTCACTGTCTCTGGGCTCCGAGTGAATCAGTATTAATCTGGTTTGTTATTTATTGGAGGACGATCAAAACTGAACGTTACAAAATGTTAGGCAGGACGAGGAACACTTAACTGCTACGTGTTAAAGGGTTTGACACATATAACTACTGCAAAACACAAAAAACACTTGGAGTACTCAAGTACAAATACCTATTCAAGAACACAGAGTATTACTGTGAGCATTATGTTGTAATTATTTGTCATTGTGAAAATGTTTTCAGTTATTTTCTCCTTTATATAGTTTTATCAATCCAAAGTTCTCATAAGATCTTTATGAGCTCACATTAGGGATGACTTTCAGCTACTACCACAACAAGTTTACCTCAATATTTGTAAAACTGACTGAGTTATAGAGACATTTTTGTGTTTGCTAAGGTTGATTAGCTGTGGCGGCCATCTTGAAATGGGTTCCCTTCAAAGTCATAAATCATTCTGCCCCTGAGAGGAAGTCACAGAGCTAAGTTGGTGTGTAAGCTTGAAGTGGGGGGCGGAGCCTACAGTGGTCAGGTTAGGCGCACATCATGGCAGCAACAAGCAGAGGCTGCTTGAAGAGGAGTTCGTCTTTACGTCAAAGAATGAAGTGGATGCATCTTCAGACTGTCAAAGATACAGCTTCTGGACCAAAAGATCATGATCACCATCTGATATCATCTGACCGAGAGGACTGAACTGTCCCAGTACTACTGTTCTTTAGTGTCTGAGAGAACTAAACTGTCCCAGTTCTACTGTTCTTTGGTGTAAGAGAGAACGAAATTGTCCAACTTCTTCTGTTCTTTGGTGTCAGAGAGAACTAAACTGTTCCAGTACTACTGTTCTTTAGTATCTGAGAGAACTAAACTGTCCCAGTTCTACTGTTCTTTAGTGTCTGAGAGAACTAAACTGTCCCATTTCTACTGTTCTTTGGTGTAAGAGAGAACTAGTCCGTCCCAGTTCTACTGTTCTTTGGTGTCAGAGAGAACTAAACTGTCCCAGTTCTACTGTCCTTAAGTTTGAGAGGACTGAACTGTCCCAGTTCTGTTGTTCTTAAGTTTATGAGAGGACTGGACTGTCCCTGTTCTACTGTTCTTTGGTGTAAGAGAGAACTAAACTGTCCCAGTTCTGCTGTTCTTTGGCGTCAGAGAGAACTAAACTGTCCCAGTTCTGCTGTTCTTTGGTGTAAGAGAGAACTAAACTGTCCCAGTTCTACTATCCTTTGGTGTCAGAGAGAACTAAACTGTCTCAGTTCTACTGTTCTTTGGCGTCAAGAGAGAACTAAACTGTCCCACTTTTACATGTCTTTTGTTTCTGAGAGGACTAAACTGTCCCAGTTCTGACAACAAAGTCCATGCTCAATAATCCAGATATACAATCCAACATTTTTCAGTCAGGTCATCTGGACTGTTTCTTTTTTTTGTGCTGAAACGTTTCGCCTTCGATCCGGAAGGCTTCACCAGTCAAGGAAACGCACAACAAAACTGATTCTTCCCCCAACAGCTTATTCCAAAGTGGAACAAACCAGTTCTGCTTGTGATAAGATGGTCTCTTTGGTATGCCCCTTCCTCCAGTGCTGGCCCTCTTCCTTGTTGACAGTCTTGTCAAACTGGTTGAAAACAACAAAGTCCATGCTCAATAATCTGAGGTATACAATGCAACATTTTTCTGTCAGGTCATCTGTCCCAGTTCTACTGTTCTTTGGTGTAAGAGAGAACTAAACTGTCCCAGTTCTACTGTCCTTTGGTGTCAGAGAGATCTAAACCATCCTAGTTCTACTGTTCTTTAGTGTCTGAGAGAACTAAACTGTCCCAGTTCTACTCTTCTTTGGTTTCTGAGAGAACTAAACTGTCCCAGTTCTACTGTTCTTTAGTGTCTGAGAGAACTAAACTGTCCCAGTTCTACTGTTTACTGAGCCTGCAGTGTTCTCTTCTAAACAGGTGCTGAAGTCATTCACTCATATCATGGCAGCAACAACCAGAAGCTACACATTAATAAATGAAATAAAGTTGACAAAACGACGACAGATGATTTTAAATGTCAAATATTATTAAAAGTTTTTCACCGGTTTTTAAAACGGAAATGATTCAAAACCCAAATATTTAATTAAAATAGTATAAAAACAATGTATAAGATGCTAAATTGTTAGCCATTGCATATTAATAAAGGACAGAAATAAAAAAAAGTCTTAACATTTCTAAAAATTTCCATAAGGAAAATAATCTCAAGTTTATTTAAAGGATGTTTTACAAAAAAAGGTTGAATCATGTCATCTGGACTTCGTTTTTTTGTTAAAAAGAAACGTTTCGCCCCTCATCCAAGAGGCTTCGTCAGTCTGAGGCCTAGCCTGAGAAAACAAACTTTGATATTTTACAAAGTTCATCTTTTAATCTCCTGTTGACACAGATGTGTAATAATTGATCCAGCGTATTTTGTCTTGTTCAGTTTTCAGACAATATATTAATACGTCAGACGTTTCGATGTAGCTTCTTTATATTTAGTATTTTTATCCTCCGTCTTTATTGTCAGTGCTCGCCGTGGCCCGATGCCCTGATCCTTACGAGCCACAGCTGCACCAGCACCCCGTCACCCGTTTACCACAGCTCACCAACAACCTGCAGTTTCCCTGATGGGTGAGTTAGCATCAACACCATCTGCCACTCCGGTTAGCACGAAGCCGTCTTTGATTCGGTGGATCCCGGAGGTCACACACAAGTGTCTGAACTCCTGTTTGGAAAACTTAGGTTCAACGTTTGGTTGCTTTCATCACAGGTTTTAATCAGAACACACAGTTGGATACAAATAAGGGGGTTGATGATTACTTTTCTTTAAAATTTACTGTTTTGAGGTATAATGATAAAATAGTGACTTTTTAACCTTTTGAGAAGTTTCTACATGTTTGGGGTTTTGTTGGAACCAGAGATGTTTTGATTTCAGCTACTGCTAGCTTAAAAATGAAAAACTTTTGGCTAGGTTTGTTTAAATGTTGCGCTCCATTTGTCCTCAGAAGTCGGAGGTTCTTTGAGAACTCTGCTTTCAAAGTCCAATATGGCTGCCCTGTGCGACGTTGTGATAGCTGCAGGAAAAAGCTTTTTATTTTCACTCAGTTTCACACATTGTTCTGTCCGGCCAACTGCTGTTAACCTTTATGTCGCTGCGACAGTTGAACGATGAGGACGAGAAGGACCGTCTCGACTCGCCAAAAAACTAAAAGAAATACATCTACAGCGTGGTTTGGTTAGCAATGAGGGGTTCTTTCAGCAGCATGGTTCTGTTAGCAGGGTGGTCTTATTAGCAGCGTTAGCAGGTCTCGTTAGCACGTCCCGTTAGCATCTTGATGGTAATAAGAACCACAGCAGCTGCCCTCCCAGACTGCCCTCCAAAACCAGGTCTGACAGACGGAGAACATCCAAGTTTTGTCCCTTCTGGGTTACTGTAGTAAGATGATGGAGGGTCTGAAGGAGGCTGCACAGTATGTGGATATCCATCCATCCATTATCTTTTACCCACTTCTTCCATTTTGGGTCACGGGGGTCGCCGGTGCCCACGTCCAGCAATCACTGTGCGAGGGGCGGGGTACACCCAGGACAGGTCGCAAGTCCATCACAGGGACACATGGAGACAAACAACCATTCACTCTCTCACCTAGGGACAGTTTAGAGTTAGCAATCAGTCCAACATGCATGTTTTTGGTCTGTGGGAGGAAACCGGAGTACCCGCAGAAAACCCACACATGCACAGAGAGAACATGCAAACTCCGCCCAGAAAGGTCCCCGGACCAGGATTTGAACCAGGGACCTGTTCGCTGAGAGGCAGCAGCTCTACCAGTTGCGCCACTGTGCTGCCCAGTATGTGGATATAATTGTTTAAATGTCTAAAAAAAACTCAATTATTTCATTTTTGTTTAGTTTTACGTTCTACACCATGTCACTGGAAGTCTGAAGCAGGGTTTTTAGAGAAGCTGGCTGATGTGTCTCACAGATAGTCCAACAAATGAACAAAGCATCACCCCAATCTGTTTTTTTTCCCTCATGCACACGTTTCTAGCAACTGTTCTCCAAACCAGCAAGGGGAGGTGTTCATGCCTGGCTGCTCTGATGTAAGTAACGGAGAACTGCAGCGTGAAAGTGTTAACCTCGCTCTTTTATCCCCTTTAGGACAATATTTGGAGACAGTGGATGCTGTGCAGCTATACTCATTTCAAGGACTCTTCTTCTTTTTGACATGTAGCGTCTCCTGCCGTCGTCCTCGCTGCAGGACACTCAGCAGTGGCTGCACCGTCACAGGTTCGCGGCTTTCTCAAGGCTCTTCTCCAGCTTCACAGGTAACACGGCGGAAGATGTTCGCACACGTTGACGAGCTTAGGAGCACACGGAGTCTGGTTAGTTCCAGCTGGGAATATGAAAACAGGAAATGGGCTGTTCTGCCAGATAATCATTAGTATCATCGCTCCTCAGTCCTGGTTCTTGAGGTGGCCCTCCAGGGCTAGGACTGAGGAGCGCCCCTCTAAACACCAGTCCGGCTCAGAGTTCGGCTCTTTCTGATTCACGTTAGCGCTCAGCTTCCAATACTGAACAGAGGTGAGTTTGTGATTTAATAATAGCCTCTTTAACTTTAGAGACTGAACCTGAACTCTTTGGTGTGCTATTCTGAGCTCACACTGTTTGGACTGGAGGTCCACTTTTATTTTACTTTGTTTTATCCACTAACACAAGCCAGGCTCCATAAGGAAGCCAGTAAAATGTAAAGCCAAACAGAGGAAAGAGAGGCGTTGGACCGGGTGGAGTTGGGGATACCTCTTCCAGACTTTAAAACTATTTAAATTTAGTCTAAAATTCATATCATGGGTGAAGCTGATGTATACTTCTCCAATGGCGGCAGTGCGCACTAACTGTAACATATCCAGTTACTTCAAGTTACAACGTGGTACGAGGCAGAAGTGCCTGCTCTCATCGCTCCTATTTGCTTTAGCGATAGAACCACTAGTTGTAGCTTAACAGCAAAACTCCATCATTAAAGGTATAAATCAATTAGGCACAGAGCATAAAGTGTCTTTATATGCTGATGACATACTTTTGTATGATCATCTCACTAGCATTCCTGAGTTACTTACTTTGCTTCAAAAATTTGGGAGAATATCTGGCTATAAGACCAAAACTCATGCTCAATAATCCAGGTATAAAATCCAACAATGTTCAGTCAGGTCATCTGGATGGTTTCTTTTGTTTTGCTGAGATGTTTCGCCCTTCATCCGAAGGACTTCTTCAAACTGAGGAGCCATCAAACAAAACTGATTCCCACAAACAACATACTCCAGTGGCTATAAGGTTATTCTTCAGAAAAACAAGCTGATGCCTGTTACCTATAGAAAAGGAAATTTTGGGTACTGTTCCATTTACCAAAAAAGGTCCATGCTCAATAATCCAGGTATACAATCCAACAATTTTCAGTCAGGTCATCTGGACAGTTTCTTTTTTTTGCTGAAACACTTCACCTTCCATCCGGAAGGCTTCATCGGTCAAGGAAACACACAACACAAAACTGATTCTTCGCCCAACAGCTTACTCCAAAGTGGAACAAACCAGTTATGTTGGTGCTAAGATGGTGTCTTCTGTCCAGATGACCTGACTGTAAATTGTTGGATTGTATACCTGGATTATTGAGCATGGACTTTTTATGGTTTTGAACCAGTTTGACATGACGGGCGACGAGGAATAGGGCCGGCATCGGAGGAGGGGTTGTGCCAAATACACCATCTTAGCACCGACATAACTGGTTTGTTCCACTTTAGAGTAAGCTGTTTGGGCGAAGAATCAGTTTTGTGTTGTGCGTTCCTTGACTGATGAAGCCTTCCGGATGGAAGGTGAAACGTTTCAACAAAAAAAACTGTCCAGATGACCTGACTGAAAATTGTTGGACTGTTCCATTTAATTAATTTTATTATTTGAAACAAGAGAAGTCATGTGTCATATGCATTTGGAACAGATTAGATGCATTGTGAGGGGATCTGTTGGGAGATTTTGGGACACTTGGCGGCCATCTGTGTCATATGTTGAAGCCGTGTCAGTGTCTGTATGATTCATGCCTGCCTCTACAGCTGATCTGGTATGGGAAGTGTGGGGTGGGAGGGGATTTTCTTGTTTGTTGTATGTTTCTTTTTGTTTGTTTGTATTCTTGATATTAAAAAAAAACAACAATAAAACGACTTTGATCAAAAAAAAAAGGAGGGAAGAGATTTGTTCTGTGTGATACAGATGATCAGGACTTTAAGCCAGAGTCTAATTTGTTTTTTTGGTGCTGCCGTAGGAGCAGATCTGTTGAGGATGAGCAGAGAGGATCTAATCCAGATCTGTGGTCCGGCTGATGGAATTCGCTTCTTCAACACCATGAAGAGAAGGTGAGGCTTGAAACCCTGTGGCTCCGTCAGCAGAAGATGGGTTGTGTCAGGAACAGGAAACTAAACACAATCCCAACTTTTAAAAAGTTGACGCGTTTATTGAGGCGTTGCTGCAGAAACGCGTCTAAGATGCAGCTTTACAACTTGGTCCATCTCATCTGCTTCTACGAGGTGTCTCCTAGAAATAAGGTAATGCTTTATTTGAAAATAAACCATTAAACCAAGAATTGCAACAAGAAAATATGCGAACACTGTCTGCGAGCTCAGATTAGCACACACACCGGTCTCTTTGATGGTTGGGTTTTCCTCGCTGGCAATTCAGCCTCGACTGTTGGTTCTGTTGCTTGGTACCATTGAAGTTGTTCTGGTCCATGGAGTGTAACAGTGCACGTATTTGTATCATGACGGGCTGGTGCAGGCGGGTACACAAATTAGACCATGACATCTTTACAGGCCATCGTTGCTCCCGACTGGCAGCGGGTGCACGTTTTGTTTAAAATACTTTAAGAAGTACTTGACACCAAACAAGGTCTGGTTCCTGAAACCACACAGAAGCTTGAAGACCTGCTGAGAGCGGAGAGGTTCTGTGGTGCCGCTGCAACAGAGGGAAACCAGCGGTGCATGCATGGCAGGAAGTTGTATCATTTATTTGGTGCTTGAGAATGTTATATGGCAAGCCATTCATTTATTTAATCAACTCTTCTCACACCTAGAGAATCTGAGTTTCACGTTTATTTCATATTTTCACATGGAGAGACGTTATTCATTAAGTCTGACTTGTTTTGGAGGGAATTTATCAGCTGACAAATCGGACTTGGCTGTACACGACTTTAGAGCCTCAGCACTAACAAAACAAGTTGATTTTGCCTCTTTGCTTCTGGGAGAATTAAAAAATAACAACACAAGCATTTGGCATTATTTCCTCTTTCCGGTTTTCACCAAACTGACACTGATGTGACACTTCGATGTAACGTTCCACCTGAACTCACCACAGGTACAAATACTGAAGAAAGTCAAACATTCAGCTGGAAAATAATGTGACATTTAACATAAATCGTCTCCGTAAACCCAGAGATACACGTAGTTTTTGTTGCACAATCCACTGTCGGATAGAAAACTAATTCATGTCTGAAGTTGAGTGAAATTAGTTTTTCTAAGAAAAAAGCTGATCAGATTTTGTGATGTAATGTGATATAAGGTTTGGTGAAACCTGCTCCTGCAGGCAGCAGTAACAGGTCTAATCTTAAAATTAAAGATTAAATCTTCAACTCACGAATGGAGATGACTTCAGCTTGAGTTATGTCACCAAGTGATAGCGTTCAGAGGAAGAAACGAGACTTTTCTCCTGTTTTCAGGTCAATACAACCCTGCCTGACCATCTATGTGTGCCAGGCGCTGAGCAGAGGTCAAACCAACATCAAACCAGGAGGAGGTGGTGAGTCCACAACCACAAATCTGACTGTAGTCATCAAATCTGACTGTAATCTTGTAATCTGATTGTAATCATCTAATCTTACTTTAATCATCTAATCTGACTGTAATCATCAAATCTGACTAATCATCAAATCTGTAATCATGAAATCTACCTGCAGTCATCAAATCTAACTGCAATCATCAAATCTAATTGTAATCTTGTAATCTGATTGTAATCATCTAATCTTACTTTAATCATCAACTCTGACTGCAATCATCAAATCAAATTGTAATCTTGTAATCTGATTGTAATAATCTAATCTTACTTTAATCATCTAATCTGACTGTAATCATCTAATCTGGCACTGATCATCAAATCTGACTGTAATCATCAAATCTAATTGTAGTCATGAAATCTGACAGCAATCATCTAATCTGACTGAAATCATCTAGTCTGACTGAAATCATCTATTCTGACACTAATAATCAAATTTGACTGTAATCATCAACTCTGACTGCAATCGCCAAATCTGACTGTAATCGGAAATCGTCTGACACTAATTGTCAAATATTACATTAATCGTCAAATCTGACTGTATTCATGTAATCTGACTGTAAATCAAATATCACTGCAATCATCAAATCTGACTGTAATCATCTAATCTGACTGTTATAATCTATTCTGACATGATCTGGTTGTAATCATCAAATTTGACAGCATTCATCAAATATCACTGCAGTCATCAAATCTGACAGTAATCTTGAAATCTGATTTTAATCCTCTAATCTGACCCCAATCATCGGAGATTAATCCGAGTCCCTCTTCAAATTTCCATTCTAAACACGAGTTTTATTACTTTGATTTTTTTTTTTTAAACTTTAGGCAGAGTTAAAATAATTATTTATACAACAACATTGTTTTCATTGAGCATGGACTTTGTTGTTAACATAGTTTTAAATTACCATTTAATTTAATTCAAAAAGCCTCTAAACTCCTAAACTTCATTTCACTTTATTTATAGACACAATTTAAATCAAACTTTATCACATTTGTGACGTGTATGACACTTTCACAGATGGGAACTTAAAAAGTGGTGATCCTGTAAACCAGAACTGTTTCATAGACCCTCGGATATATTTTAACTCGGTCATTTCACACAAGTATAAAAGTCGACCATTGCTGCTGTTTTTAATTATTGCCCATCGCTAGAGGGTGAAGGCGGGCGATAATGTTTTTGAATGTGTCTGTGTTAGATGATTCAAGATGGCCGCCACAGCCAGCTGACCTTAAAAAACACCAAAATGGCTAAAACTTGTACGTTTTGCAGATATTGAGCTAAAATGTGGCGTTTGTGGCTGTATTTCTTTATCCCTCAGATAAAGCGATTGTGGTGTAAAAATAAACTGTTCCTGACCAGTGGAGCCATCTTGACCTTTAGAAACCTTAATTTAGGCAGGCTAATCCCATTGAGCCTCGAGGACTCGTTTACAAGAGAGACCTGAAAGGATCTGTAACAGTGAAGATCTCAGCTTCCACCTGGAATGTTCATCTTAAAGTGACTCCTGGTTTCTGATAGAATACGAGAAAACATTTTCCAGGATGAAATAACTAATCGTAAAGAAAACGAGCTCTCTCATCTCAACATGACAGTTAGATGGTCCTCACAATAAAACAAGTTTTGTTGACGAGAAAAAACAAACAAACACTAATTATCTCTGGAGGATTTCATGAAAATGAAGGTATAATTGGTCCTGTCCTTTATTCCAGTTTACCACGCTCTGTATTTGGAGGAGCGGACTCTGATGGACCTGTCTGAAAAGATCGCCGTCCTCTACAACATCACTCCACAACAAATCGCACATATCTACAGAAAGAACAGCTCCGGGATTCACGTCTTAGTTTCTAATGAGGTACCAACACGAACACAGTGATGCTTTTTATTTTTACACCCCTGTCAGAGCTCCTCACCGTCAGGCTGAAGAAGACCGGGCAACAGATTATTCACGCTTCCCTGAACTTCCTTCCTGTTGCTTTTAGTCTGAACACAAACGGACAAATCCTAAAAACATTAAAAACCAAACAACTGGATCCTGTTGGGTTGTTGAAGACGTTTTCCTTTACATCCAGGAAGTTTTCTCAATTAAAAACTGCAGAGTGTGGAAGCTTTGTTTATGCATCTAAACTCACATGCAAAATAACCCGCACCCCCCTCCACCGTGAGGGTCATTAGGGTATTTGCCTCGCTCCCCTCCCACCTGAGGGTGCTTAAGGTCTTTGTCTCCTTCCCCTCCCTGCTGAGGGTCATCAGGGTCTTTATCTCTCTCCCTCCTGAGAATCATTAGGTTCATTGTCTCTCTCCCCTCCCCGCTGAGGGTCATCGAGGTCCTTGTGTCCCTCCTCTTCCTACCGAGGGTCCTTAAGATATCTGTCTCCTTCCCCTCCCTGCTGAGGGTCATCAGGGTCTTTGTCTCTCTCCTCTCCCTGC